GAACAAAAGCAAGAAAGCAAATTTACTGTGATATAAAGCCTTCTCCCAGTATTTCAGAGAACAGCCAATTCCAGCTCCAGAGCAGAGCCATGATAAAGGAATACTCGGAATAAACTACAAGGGCCTTGCTGGCCCTGCTGTGGTCACACTGCACACTCAGCCCCAGAGACAGGATTTGATGGACTCCTTGTCAGGTCTGGGATAATCCCTGTGCAGGAACTTGAGGAAGATGAGGGAAAGGCAAATAAATCCCCAGCCTGGGTGACCCTGCAGCAGGCAGTGTTCCTTTTGTTTTCAGGATCCAGACTGGACATGTTCCAGAAAGATGCCTGTGTGAACTCCTGGGATGAATTTCACACTGGGAGGTCACTGCTCTGCTGCAATCTTTCACCTGCTTATTGCACCAGGGAAAACCCCAGTTGGGAATATTTTCCTGGAACGTGAAGAGAACTGTTCTCACCTTTAGTCAGGCTCTGACTTCAGCAGCCCAGGCTTTGGTGGTTATCAAGGTGACTTTGATTTCTAAGCTGGCAAAACTCCCACTGTGCTGCGCTGGTTTGGTGCCAATAATCCAACCAGAGCAGCCCAGATAGGAACTATCACATTGGTCTTGATAAGCCAGACTCAACCCCTGCTCTGCCAGCTTTCCATTGGGAATGCCAAGCCCTGAGCAGTAGGACTGGGAGAGGAAAGGCTTGGAGAGAAACCAGATGAGCTGCCAGGTGGGAGCTGCTCTCTGCAGCCTCCCCTGAGATGGGTGAAGAGGAGACAGGAAGATTCATCTGGAAAGAGGCAGTTGTTGATCTGTGGCCCTGACTCTGTGGTCTCAGACTGTTTCCATTGCTTTCTAACTCATGTCCCTGTCTGCAAAGGAAGGAAGAATAATTTCACTACTTTACATGCAACTGTGAGACTATTTTAAGATTGAGAATGGGGGTTTCACAAAGTAGAGAGTTATTTTATTACAACTTCTGGGCTGCCCTGCCCTGTCAGAGCAGTTTGATGCATCAGTAGTAACTGCTGATCCCTGAACACAGCTGTCACTTGAAGTATTTTGAGATCTTTCAGGAGCAGTGCTATCCTATTAATAGAAATTATTGCTATTTTTTTCCATATAGAAAGGCAGCTCTTTCATACTTTGTCACTTCCTTCATGTAAACAAAGAAAGAAGTGAGGAGGGCTTTCTCTCAAGATGAAAGTGTGTGTGTGTAGCCCTTCCCTTGGATCATTTCTGTCACTGAACTGTGTGGAAAGTAGTTTTCCATCTCTGCCTGTCTCAGTTGCCAGGGATTAAAGGCTGCACTGAAGCCTAAATTCTGTGCTGCTGCTCATTACTGAGCACCTCTCATCCCCTTTCCTTTAATAACAGCATTCTCACAGTAAATCCCACAGATATATAGTTTATGGAAGTCTTTTCTACTATTAGTTCTTTTGCTATTTTTCTGCCTGTTCCTGGCTCTGCTGCTGCTTGGATTTGGCCTTTTTTTCCATTTGAGCTGTCTTTGTTTCTTGAATTTCTGTACTGAGGGTCGTACTTTCTCTTAGACAGGGATATTAACACGTGTTAAGTTCCTCTGAATGTGCCCTGCCTGCCATTTCAGTTTTCCAGCAGATGTGTTGAAAGGAATATCGTTCCAGACTTGCTCTCCATCAATAGGCATTTTGGACTTAAGTTTTTGAAGTTGCTTTTTACCTCAGAAGCACAAAGAACCCCCTTTGGCTGTGATCAAAGCCAGGTGGGCTCTGGTGGTACCACAGGGAATGGATGGAACCTCGTAATTCTCCCTGAACATCCCCAAAGCAAAGAAACCTACGGTGACCCCACGGAATTGTTCGAAAGGGAAAGGATTTGTTGCATTCCTGAACAGATGCACGTTCCCCTGTACCCTTTTGGAGAACACAGGCTCTCTGCTCCATGAATTCCTGTCTGTCTCTGCCCATCTGATGTGCTGAGCTGACACTGGAGCACTGTGTCAGCTGCTGCCTGGTGATTTTCCCTGCCCCTCTCTCTGCTCCCTGCACGTCTGTCAGGGAGGAGCAGTTCCCCAGACTGGCCCTTGCTGGCTGATGCCGTGCATGTCATCAGTCCAGGCTCAACAATGAGACTCTCAGACACCAATAGTTTGGAAGATTTCTTTCCAGCCCAAATGCTGCAGCCCGTGATTGACAGGTTTTGTCCTGCCCCTGGTTCCTGGAGCCTGATTTGGATGATTTTCTACAGCCTCTCCAGACACATCTTGTCCCATCACAGTCTCACCTGCACCGTTCCCTTCCCCAGCTCTCCTTGGCTGCTGCACCCTGGAGTGGGATAAGAGCCCTCACTCCAGAGGAGTGTGCAGGGAAGAACAGCTCACCCTGCAACCCCTGCCACGGCTTTGAGAGCTCCCAGGACGTGGGCTGTGAAAAAGGCTGATTTCAGAGGTTGCCAGCTGCAGTCAGAGCTGCTAAAGGCATTTCCTGCTCTTCCTACAAGGCCTGATGAAGCGAATTTTGTCCCTCTGAATTACAGCCCACTTGTGCCCAGAGATTGGGTAAAATGTTCCAGGGATTTATTACAATGTAATACCATGAAAGCTGAACAAATTTCAGGAACAAATTTTGAGGATCAAATCTCAGTGGGCAGCTATTTGCCTAATGTCCTACTTTCCCCCACATCTCCTGCAGGAAGCAAATAGCTTTTAGTTACACAGGAGCCTGATTACTCCCCCAAAACACTAACACTCAAATTTGCCCCTTTTAAGGCTATTTTCTGCTTTCAGGGGCAAGAACCCTTTGAAGGTACTGGGGAACACAAGCTGAAGATCTAAAGCCAGGAATACTCTGCTTTCCCTGGCATATGCAGTATTTCACCAGCAGAGCTTTTTCTAGTCCAATCCTTCAGTTCCTTCTCTTCTCCTAATTATTTATTCAAGTATAATTGACTTGCAAGACATTCTTGGCTTTCAGTGTGCACTGAGTGAATTATTGACCCGTCACATGGGTCACTGATGTGAAGAGACATCTGAACAAACTGGGTGCAAAGCAGCTCCTTTGCATTCCTAATAGCAATTGGGAGCCATTAATAACTTTGCTGCTTGGTGCTCTCAGAGCCTGCACAGTTTTAGTTTGACATGCATATGGCTGAGTTCATCCTCAGTGTAATTTGAAATTCATTGGCCATGGACCTCATCTCCTTCTGCTCCTTGAAAATCTCTCCTGTGCTGAGACAGGCTATGCTAATTCCAGAGTTTATGGCTGACTTGAGATGTTACATTTGAAAAATCAAATCCAATTAAATCAACTTATTAGCAGGGTCAGAGACCAGTATTCAGCTCATTCTGTTCCTCGCTGTTTCACAGCAAGGAGTGAACTGAGGGAGTGTTTTGTGTCTCAACCCAAACCAAACTGATCTGTCCTAATAAAATGGCTTTTGGCTGCACGACCTAGAAAATACAGTCAAGTGATAAAGCATTTCCCAGAGTTCAAATATCTGAGCTCAGTTCCTGACTTTTCCTGCTTTTTTGTGTACTATGGGACAAATATTCTCCCCTTTGTGCCTGTTTCCCCACCTACTCACAAGATGGAAGAGAAACGAGGGTATTGCAGGAAAAATGCAATGATTGCAAAGTTTTGAGACCTCTTGAATGTGGTGCTGTGGCAGCAGCATCAGCTTCCTGGGGTCAGAACTGTAATGGGGCACAGAGCTTAGGAGAATCTGAATAAGAGATGCCCAAATTCTGTCCTGGTAGAAACTTGTTTATTATCCGGGAAGGGAAAAAAGCTTCTGCATGAAAAATATCTTAATATTCTCAGCAAGGAGTGGAACAGAGGGGTTTGGAGGTGGACAAATATTAAGCTGATTTGCAGGTCCTTTTTCAAAGGAAAGTTATAAGTTTAGATTTATGAGTTCCCACACTGTGCAAAGCTTTGTGTTTAAATTACACCATCACCAAGTGCCCGGTGGCTCTTTCTGCCTCTTGTTCAGCATCTAATGTATTTCCTGCAGGAGGTCCTTCTGCTCCAGACAAAACCAGACAGAAAATGTTGAATTCTTAGATATCCTTTACACATCTCCTCCTGCCTCAGTTCCAGGGGCAAATACAGTTTATCCTGCTCAGGCATCTTCCATCTTTCCCATTCATTTAGAAGCTTAAATCTTGTTGGAATTTGCTGTGGTGTCAATTCATTCAAACAACCTGAGGGAACTTACTAAAGTGCCCACTTTGGTGGCTCCCTCTCACTTGTCAGAACTGGCATCTCAAGGTGAATTGCTTCAGCCTTCCCTAGATCATCAGCTACACAAGGTACCAAGACTCCTATTTTAAGTTTCTGCCTCTGTTAAGTGCCTAATTTGAACCTGAGACTAAATTACTTCCCAAAGTGAAGCTCTTACCTCAGACATTAACGAGCCTTTAAGACCCTTGTATCAGTTGCTGTACTTCAAGCAGAATTCAATTATGCAGCAAACCTCGGGATGTCACTGGGGGTTTCCAGAGTCCCACTGAAGTGGTGGAAACCCTGGGAAGGATTTACCTCACTTTACCCTTCAAAATGCTAGAAAAGCCCAGGCAGCTCATTTAAGACAGGCAGTAGAGCTACAGTTTATATTTGAGGAGGATTTGAAGGAGGATCTCATCTCACTGGGCCATCACCAGATTGTGTGAGCACGAGATTGGACACGACCTCCACATTGAAACAAAAAAAGGAAGTGAGAGGAACTTCTCTCGGTATCAGCAAACATTCCCACATGAGGTGCCCCCCAGAGCTCAGTGGCTGTTTCCCAGGGTGCACCTGCTATGGTGTGACCACTTGTTTTCCTCTTTGGGATGGACATTCCTAGGGCTTCCAGCAACACCTTGCTGTTGGTGACCCAGCAGGTGGTTCCTCTGGGCACATTTCTCCCAGAGCACAGAGGGTTTATTAAAGCAGGAGCCAGCTGAAATTCCTTTGCATTTCTCATGGAATGCTCACATGTCCAAACCCTCTCTGGTGAAAGCAAGAAAGGAACAAACCCATCTTACCTCTGTGAGGTCTCAGCACGCAGTGTGTGAACTCATCGGCCCCTCGGCCCCGCGTGGTCCCAGCTCCCTGCTCTGGAGAGAGGGCTTGTGAACACCTTTGGGGGGTAACAAAGCCCTCTGGATCTGAGCTCTAAAGCTCCTTTTCTGCTGAGGGCAGGCTGAGCTGCAGCCCTGCTCTAAGGGCAGGGGATGTAGGGCTAGTGCAGCTTTTTGGGGATTGTGCTGCCCACGGAACAGACAACGGGTCTGTGGCAGCCTAGAAGGTAAAGCTGCATTCCTGTGGCAAACTCCCCTAATTCCTGCTAGTCCAGAGACCTCAGAGTTGAGGTGAGCTGCTGGTAACAGCTGGAACACAAGAACAGCCTCCAGGGGCAGGGGGCTCTGAACTCCACAGCTGGAAAGTGCCTTCACCATGACCACCCCCTTCCAGGACCCACCCAGCTCCCCAGGGCCATCCCTGCTTACCAGCTCTAGGGGGTGTCCACAGAACTTCTGCCAAGAAAGGTGGATTCCCAGAGCTGCACCCTCTTACATTTCTCCTGAAACAGTCAAGGACAAACAACAAATCTGGATGGAGCTGGAAAGCAGCAAGAAGCCCAGGGAAAGGAAATGAGGCATGAGAGCCTCTCTCCACCAGCTCCCCACCAGCTCCCAGCCCCCGGCTCCTCACACCTAAACACAAATCCATGATTAAGGCTTAGTGCCCTTTGCCCTCATCCTTCCCTGCTCCACACATTGCTCCCCCTAAGCAGGGCTGGGTTTCCCAGCCCCCCCCACACTTCCCCCAGCTGTTCCCTGCTCACCAAGCTTGGGTTTGTCTGGAACAGGAACTGCATCAGATACTGAACAGTAAGGGGCACAAAGAGCCACTTGGTGACGGTGAAATTTAAACACCCAAAGAACCCATCCCTGGAGGTCCATGCCCTCTGCATCCATCCCCAGCATCCACCTCCTCACCCAAGTGCCCTGAGCTGCCTTGTCCAGCCACCCTGTGCTCAACCAGGCAAGGCTGGGTTGAGATCCAGCAGCCTCTGGAGTGATCAGACATTATCCAAAACAGAATGTAAGAAAATAATGGCAGTTATTAGCTCAGCACCTATGGGAAAAGGCTGTGGTATAGGAAATAGAGGCAATCAGTACAGAATGGGTACTTGTTCCTTCCTGATCATTCAAACCATTACTTGGTTATTTTTGTAATTTGATTCTATAATGGAGATTTTCCTCCTCTTGTGCGGCCAAGTTGCATCATGCAGAAAATTGGTTTGTTTAAGTAAGAACTCTTATGGTGTCTTTCATCCAATGTTCTCAGAGAACATTACTAATAATTCATTAAAGCAACACTGTCAGCTGGAACACTTTTAATTACCATTTTCTGACAAGTCAACCCTTAAGTGGTATGCCCTGATTTTTAAATTTATTACTAACACATATGCAGATTTTTCCCTTTCCCTGCTGATGTTTATTTGGTTTGAGAAAAGTAACTGACTGTGAGATTAAGGAAGTGAACCATGTACTACACGTTGTCATGCCCAAAATGAGAGATAATTTTGGGGTGGTTACTTGTTTTAACAGGAGTTTTGAGAACCTCTTTGCGTCTCTGTGCAGCTGAATATAGGGGCTTGTTGGTGCTGGGGGACTGAAACCCTCTAATTTCAAGTCTAGCTGTGAAAATCAGTAGCTGTTCCTTGTTAACTGCCCAGTTACACATGCCTAGCTCCTAAGTTACTATGAGGTGAAGACCTCGTGGCTGCTGCTAATACAGGGTTAAAACAACAGTTCCCACATAACTCTAATATGCTGGGAGCTTGTACCAGCTTATCCCACCCCAGTTTTTCACAAAGCTGCTATTTTAAGGCCCTTCCAGCTCCATGTCACTGCCACAAATCCATTCAGCATTCCCAGAGAAGAGTAATGCCTGAATGTTCTGCCTTCATTTTCTTGGGTGACCCCAGCAGGTGCAGAGATTCCCTTTGGCGATGTTTTCCTCAGTAGCCTGGTTTGTGGGAGCAGACACTGAGGCAGAGAACCAGCAAGAGGGTTGCCCAAGGAAGGGTGAGCCAGTGGCAAGGCAGACTAGAATCCAAACATCACATTCCACCAGAAAAGGATTTTCTGCTTCCCTTCTACAGTCCTGACACGACGATTCTGAGCAAGGACATGCTGGGGATTTTTGCAGCTCCCAAGCAAGCACTGTGGCCACGAACCTCTTACCTGGGGTCTGACGCGGTGAAGGTGAGCACAGAAGGGAGAGGGGAGAAAATCTGCCCAGCTTTGTGTCCCCCAGACCACAGAACTTCCACAAAACGTGGGTCCAGCAGCTTCTGTGGCAGAGCAGGAGAGCCCAGGGCCCTCTTTGGCTTTTATGTGTGGTGTAGCAGCTCAGACTGGCTGCCAGCTCATCTATATGCAATGGCTCATTAACAGTGCCTTGGTTTGTATGGATGTCAAAGGCACAGGAATGGATGCAAAACTCAGTGCAAGTGGTGAGCTGCTAAAGTCAGAGAAAATATTACCTGGAGGAGCTGCTCTTACTCCTCCTGTCACCACACCTGAGTCTCTTGTCCCACCTCTTGTCTGGGCCACTTGTGAGGATCAGCCTTCCCTTTGCTCTGGGCAAGAACCAGCTGCCTCTGGATGCCTCCATATTCTGCAGAGCCCTTTGCATCTTGAATTATTTGGTCTGTGCTCTATCAGCTGCATGTGTCCTTGTCCAAATTCCTGCTTAGACTTTCCTTCCTGGATTTGAGCTGAAACTTGGGTTCCATCTGGACTCTCTGCAGAGGAGAGACTGCAGGAGTCACCTCATTGCTGAGAGGCTGCTGTTGCTCTCCCTGCATTGCTGTCACCTTAGAGCTTAAAGAAATGTGCATCTCTTGGAATTCTCAACCCTTTGCATCCTAAGGAAGAAGTGACTTAGGGCTGGAATCCTCCCAGTCATCTGTAGGCACACAAAAATGAGGTGGAGTAAAGGTAGCTCTGGTTCCCCTCATGCTCAGAAGGCATTTGTTCTCCCTCTAAGACAGATATTGCCTTGCAGAGGTGCCCATCCCTCTCCATCAGTAGAGTGAGGGCTGGGGAAGTCTGTATCCTTACTTTTTGGAGGCCCTACCATAAATAAATAAATGAGTTCTTCCCCCAATGATGCCCAGTGTGGAAGCTGCTCTTCCCTTGGGTTTAGGGCAATAAGCACCCAGTGCTTCTGGCCACCTACAGGGACAGATGGAGACAGGAACCTCTGAGTCTGGAGGAACTTGGGAACAGGATTTGTACGTTAAAAAAAGTTATTTAAGGCTTGGGCAGAGCCAGATCTGCTCAGAGTTGAAACCAAGAGCAGTTTTGTGACTCGGTGACACCAGAGTTTGCCCCGGGGTGTTCTGAAGACAAAAGCACTGATACAAGAATTAACTGCCATTATCCATCCCATTGTTTTAATGGCTCCACCATTAATAATAAATTTGATAATACTCAAGCAGCACTTTTCATCTCCAAAGCATGTTAATCCATCTGTTCAACCTCTCAGCATTCCTGGGAGGCAGGTGTGCTACACCAACACACAGAGGCTTTTTTAGCACCAGGAACTGAGCATGGAATTGCTCCACAGCCTTTGACCGGGAGCTCATTGATGAGGTAGACCCTGAAATAATCTGGTTATTTTTATACCACTCCTGGTACGTGCAGGGTTCCCATCTTTTTCACCTATTGGCACAAATGAATTTCCTTGCATCACATAACATCCTGCAGATTGTTTAACATCACTTTTCAAAGCAGCAATCTGGTTCTCCTGCAAGGAAACTCAATGGGATTTTTTCCCACTGGCTTCAAAGAGCATAACTGAGCCCTTAAAGGGATTTACTTCTGTTAAATATCATCCTCAAAACTGAGAAATTAACAGCAAATGGGCTTTCTTCCCTTTTCCTCTAAGATATGTCAAAAGAATATTATAAGAAAGAATAGCTTTCTCCAGCTTTCAGAGACTCCCCAAGTGAATTTCAATTGCAGGTTTTTAGGAAAGAGTGTAATTAACAACTTGATTCAGTCTGAAGCCAGAAAATTCATTCTATGTTTGGCATGAAAAAAAGCAGAGCAGGAGGAGGGGAGTAAATGACCTAGATTCTCACAAGTGACAAATGACTCCAAGGTGCTCTGAGCCCCCTGGAATGGCAGACACTCCCACAAAGTGCACTGCAAAGTGACTTCTCCTTGTTGTCCTTCATGTTGGACATTCCAAATCACCCAAGGCACTCTTGGAAATCTAAGTTATTGTGTTGGTTAAACTGATTATTAAATCAATTAATTTAATATTATTAATTAAATTATTTTCAATAATTAGATTAATTAGATTAAACTCATTATACATCTAGGGTAATATTTCAAAAAATGCATCCATAACCAAGCAGTTGAATCCTATTTTCATCAGTGACCTCAAGATTCTAATTCACAGCAATCTCCCCTTTTCCAAGCTTCCTTCATTGTTTTCCTGGAAATGTGTGCTTTGAAAGCATCTCCCATCAGGAAGAAATGAGGAAAACAAGGAAAACATTTCCAGAATGTCCCTTTCTATATTTGCATCTTCTGGTTTTCCAGTGTTCTGTTTTCCATGATAAAGTCAACATTTTCTATAAAAAGCTCTATGAAGAGCCTGTTTGCCTAACAGCAGTTTTTCTGTATAAATGTTAATAATCTCTGTTCTGTCAAAGGAAAGAAAAAAAAGATTTAATGCCTTTATCTCTTGGAATGGTTATTTATAGGAGAGGAGTTCTCCCGAAGATGGAACCAAAGATATATATTTTAAGAGTGGGGAAGTCAGTGCTGCAGGCGGTTGTTTATTCATTAACCTTGGTGTAGCTGTGCTGGCAGCCTCCCAGCAGTTATTTACTCTGTGCTCACCACAGGGAGGGATTTGGAATCCACTGCAATGTTATTCCAGTCCCAGGAGAGGTGATTCCATCCTTCCGGTTCCGAGCAGCACGCAGAGCATGGTGGAGGGAGTGGAGCAGAAACGGGAGGCTGAGCTCTCACTGGGATGGCTGAGCACTCACTGGGATGGCTGAGCTCTCACTGGGATGGCTGAGC